AGACTGGGGCCATCCTTCAGAAACGATGTTCTTGGCAGCCAGTACCATCAACCATGTTGGCCTAACAGCATATTTGTTCATTACCCCTGCAAAGCAAAGGAAGGAGTGTCTAATCCCTGAAGCCTCATTACCTGAAGATAACTTGTCCTGGAAAAGGCCCACTTGAAGTAAATCACTCAAAACAGGAGCTAGTGTTACAGGGAAATGGGAAAATGAGGGATGAATAGAGCTTTACCTTGAAAAACGATTTAAATATACACTCATTCATTTCATTCCACAAACATTACTGAATATTTCAGCCCCAAGGATACTGTCCTCAGCTCCCATTCTATTGGGGGTGGCGATTGTAACATAAATAGACTAATATTAAGTATCAGGTACTGACAGGTTTTACAAAGAAAATAAAGTAGAATAAAGTGTTGGGAGCTGCTAATTTAGGGAGTGTGGGCAGGGAAGTTTTCCAGGAGGGAGCACATGTGAGCAGGCCTGGGGGTGGTGTTACCAGCAAAGGGAAGAGCAAGTGCAACAGTCCGAGGGATGGGTCAAGTTCACCTGTTGTACTAACAGCAGGGAGGCCAGTGTGATTGGAGATAAGTTCAAAGTTGTCTCCAGGGCCAGAGCACGCAGGACCTGGTAGATCATGGTAAACAGTAAAGAAATTATAAAAATGTTTTAAATTTATATTATGCATATAATTGTAATAGTGAGCCAATTCTTAGATACAATAGGGAATAATAAATCATGCCCATTGAAAATGATATATGTATAATTTTTCTGAAAAAAATTTAGTTTAAAATGATAAGCTTCATCTCACATTGGTGACTCACTGGCTAATTATAAAAAGATAACATTTAAAAATTCAGGGCTTCATAAATTTTTTAAAAAACATTTTCCACTTTTAACCCTTTGATATCATTCCCTTTAGAGCTGACTTATCACCATCCTTATCAGTTTCTTGTTCTTTGGTTGTTACCACCAAAACCTTCCTTATCACTGGTTTTGAATGTGATGCCGGCTACTCTCCAACATCACTGCCACTGGCTCCATGAAATCCTGAGTCTTTTACAAAAATTGAAATTTCCTCAGCAGTCAATTTACATAGCATCTGCATTTTGTTCTCAGATGAATCAAACGGAATGAAAGACAAAAGTGGATTTGCTAGAGACTAGAGTTAATTAGGGAGGGATGTTTGTACGGATCAATATCGTAACCAGTCCGGCATAAGTTTATACTTTTGGCATCGCAACTTTGCTTTCCCCGTATCTCTGACCACTCCGATAATGAGGCCTCTCTAGTTATGGAATCAGGTATGGGACCGCTGAGGGACAAGATTAGAGGACCCAGTTGGGGGTGATTTTCTCTATGGAAAATTATCTTTTTAGGCAGAATTCCTTTCTTTCCATGGGGAAGCCTGGTCATTCCCCAGGGTCCTGGCAGGAAGGTACAAGCCACTGTGTCCAGGCCAGTAGAGCAGGCCTCTGTTGATTTCCTGGCATTGTAAAGATTCTGGCTCCTTGCCACAGTGTCTTGCAGAAAGTGATTTCTCAGAATTGAATGTTCCTCCAGGGATGTGTGAGTATTTTAAATCAAAGGGTTGTAAAGTGAGCACAAAGCCATTCTGGATGGAACTCATTTCATTTGAATAGCAGCCCATCTACATTTAGTAAAGTTTTTAATTTTTATTGTTTTCTTTTTAAATTATATAAACACTGTGGCATTATGGAAAATAGAAAGAAAATACCATCTGTAAGCTTATTAACCAAGTATAGCAGTTTAATCATCCTGTTCCCAACTTTATATTTTATTTATTTTCTTATTTATTGTAACAATAAGAAAATGATAATAGCATTCCTTAACCTTTTTGTTGTTGTTTTCGGTTATGCCACTTAGTCTCTATTAGAATCCATGGCGTAGGTTATTATTGTCTCATAGGACAGGGGAGAAAACCCGGCCATGGGGTGGTTGTCTGAATTCAAACTACGAGCGAGTGATGGGCCTTAAACTCTGGCAACTCTATAGATTTCCTTCTTGACCACTTCATTCTTGCTTTATAGTTTGTATATGAGTATAGCCAAGTCAATAGATTAGAATCAATTTTTTTTCAATTATACTAAAGAAACTGTAGTTAAGTACATCTGAAATTTAGATGTTGGTTTCAGGAGCACTGATGGACAAAGTAAAACATTATAACTTTTGACATGTAAGTGAATTAACCATTTAAAGCTAGCATTTTCATTTCCCTTATTCTACTTACCATGTATAAAATAAGGTCATGTATAAACTACAGACTACATATTAATCTGTATATATATATATGTATGTTAATCTGTATGTGTCCACATGTGTGTATATGTATGTCTACACACATGTGGACATGATTACTCTAAGGACATCATGGTGGCAGGACTGTGTCTGTCTTGTTTGTGACTATGGACCAGTGACAAATGTGTAGCATCATCTTTTCATTCATTCATTTGTTCAGTGAATAATTATACCAGTTAATCTGTTTTGCATTTTTCTCTGATATACTTCGTAACTCTTTTCTCAAAGTTCCTAGTTCAAAATAATGTTAATGTATTTAACAAAATGTTTCTTTCTTCAGTGGGTTTGGGAAACATTGGTTAAAAAACAGTGAAATACTTTTCTATGTTGCCTAATGTGCATTGTGAATTTATAATATACATCTTTTCCAAAACTTATATTTGAACATGTAACTCTTCTTTTTCCTTTTTTTGGATCATTAAGGAGACTAGAATTTTACTGAAGACTAGAATTTTACTTTTTGAAACACTGGTCTAGAACTTCCTTCTTTCATAACTCCAATATTAGTTTCTCTGCTTATCTTTTTGAACTGAGCTTGAACTGCCGTTTAGCCAAACAGGGTCTTTAAAATAACCAGATGTTTTATGATTATTCATCAGTATTGTCCTGTTCCAAGTTGAATAGTTCAGGTTATCGAAATGAGTAAAACAAGGCCCCAAGCACTATAAAAATAATGTCCAAACCTGATTTAATATGAAAACAAATAATATCAGAAGAATGGTAGAGAAATAAAAATTAAAATGCTCAATTTTTTTTTATACTGCCAAGTAAACTTTTTTTCTGGGACATTTTTAAAATTGGTAATTTGCTATAACAAATTATTTTCATTGCATATGAATACTATTTACCTACATTCTAATTTTGGTCAATACCAATCACAAGCTGAATAGAATTCTTATTTCTTTTTTTTGTGGACATTATTGAATACCTGCATTAATTTCATATAGTTATTTCATGTCACTTTCAAAGGGCCCACATTATTTCATATGATTGTCTAAGTCCTGTTTCAAAGCTGAAACATTTTTTAATTCTAGACGGGTCTGTAGAACCTCTTCAATGAGAAAAGTATCATCTTTCTCTGCATTAAGAATTTCTGAAAACTGGATACCTTTGAATCTTTAAAGCCAAGAAGACTAACTATAGACTTACCTTTTATCAGTTTCAATAAAATAGAAAGAACAGACCTCAGTTAGCAGTGGCTAAATAATTAATACACACATATAAAGAAGTGGTTATGCCTGATACTCCTAAACCAAGGCTATAGCTTGTATACAGTATTGTTAATCATTTAAGGGATAAACATTTCTAAACTTATTCAGTCAACAGAGTACAGGTCTAAGACCATCTGGGCTTTTAGCTACTTTTAACAAGATACCAAGAGAGGAAAGTGAAATTGCAAAGGACCTTAATGAAACCTTTTTTTCTTAGAAAACTCTATTTTGATTTTGCAAAGTATAACTTTAAAAAGTTGAAAACATGACTGTCATACAAACACAGGCACACATCAGAGACCTGTTCCTATATTCATGAGAGAACATACAAGATGGAGATGCTCTTGCTTCTAAGTGCATTCTGAGGGTCTGTATATTCAAAGCATTTGGCAAGAATGTTACTATCAGATTGTTAGGTTAGATGCAGAATAGGTCAAAGTTGTGCAAAGCAATAAAACTAGACTGTAGAGGTTGGATATCCCTACAGATTGGATAAAAAGTACCAGTGAACTTGTAACTCTACAGTGTCTGGGATCCAACCACTAAATGAATAGCGAAGTCAAGCAAAAGTACATTTTCTGAGAGAATTAAGTGGTCCTTGGGGTGGGCCTCTGAAACAATGTCTCAGTGTGACACTGAAAAGTCGTGCTTTCCCCCCCGATTACCAAGTTTTGGGTAATGTTTCTAATTATCTGAAAATAAAAATTTGAATTTTTAAAATTATAAATTAAAAATCATGTACTTATATAGTTTGGACTAAAAACCACCATCTCAGCGGCTTCTGAGAGTGGTGGAGAGATTAAAAAGTGCGGGAATGGGTCTTCTTGATTCAAAATTCAAAATAAGCGTCTTTCACAGATGACCGTTCATTCCATATCAAGGTCAAGCTGATAGGAGAAATGAACGGTGGAAAGAGGGCAGGACGAGCATCTCCAGGATGAAGCAAGTGGGGGCTGACTGCCTTCCCTTCCCCCAACAGGGCTGCTTTTATTTAAAAGGGATAGCATTTGAGGGTGCTGTTTCTCATTCTTTGTAAAAGGGCTTGGAAGCAGAGCTCAGGAGGGCTGCCTGGGCGTGGGAAGCCCCACCCCTTGCACAGCCCCCCTCAGTCACCAGCTAATGCCTGGAATAAATTCTCTACTCGCCCTGCGTGGGTTCATTCACAGCTCTGTTGTCCCGGGGCCTGGCGCTTCCTCTGAGGGACCGAAATAACAGCGTGCAGTCAGATTGGGGGTGACGCTGTGAGCCCTCCTTCAGAGGCTCCGCTTCTCCCCGGGCAATACATATACAACGACACACAAATTTAAAAATAGTAATAATAAAACGAAAACAGCAGCCATGTCCCCTCTCCCTTCTGGTCCCCTCCCGGCTTTTTCTGGACGTAGGATGAAGCTCTGTGAGCTCCCATCTCTAGAGGGGGTAGCTCTGCGAAGCTGGTAGGAGCCGTCTGCAAGAAAGCGAGTCCCGGGGGGATTTCAGCACCTGGGCAGAAACAGTCGGGCTTTCCTATTGCCAGCCCCGGGGGTGGCTGGCACCGAGAGGTCTGCGTTAAACGCCGCTCGGGGCTGGTAAGGTTGGGGTCGCCGCGGTAACTCTCCAGGTGCTCCCAGGTCCCGCTCGGTGGAGCACCCCGCCCCGCCCAAATCTGTCCTTTCAGCCTCGGGGGCTGCCGGGCTTTGTGGTTCGCCCAGCGTCTGGGCCCCTGCTGGGGGTGTCGTTACGAGCATGTGCAGACAGCAGCCCAAGGTAGAGCGAGCGTGCCGGGCGAGCCCTGAGATTTGCCTTGCAATGCCATGTTTGTGTGTGTGCTCTAACTCCCGGAGAGCGATCAGGGAGGCGGCTCCCCCGCCCGACTTGGCTGATGTTTTCTTGTTTCTGTTTCAGCCTTCAGGATAATTCCTTCAGCAGCACCGCTGTAACCGAGTAAGTGATTCTTGCCATTAAAATAAGACTTGCATGCCTTTCTCTGGAAGCAACTATCATGAACGTACTCTCTTCTGTCCCCAGCCACTCTTCATATCAGATGCATTGTCTCCTGTGATCCGGGGCTGGGGAGGTGCTGACTGATGGGGCCCAGAAATCTTTACAGGCTCAAATGAGCCTTTTAGCAGCAGCTTGAGAGATATTAAAACAGGCTGATGGCTTGCTGGAGCTCACTGCAGTAAGATAGATATGTGCTCTTGGAGCTCAGAGTAAAAAAAACCTATTTGACATGTCATACATCTCATAAAGGAAGCTCTGCTGTATTTTGCCAACATTGGTGTCAGTTTTCATGGAGTGTGTTGTATACATTGACAACAAACAGGAGATGGCTGTGAGCTGACTTGAGTTGAATTCCAGCGTGTGATAAACAGACTAAACTTATCCTCACCCTCTCTTGTCCACAGATTTTTAAGACACAGCAGAGTAAACTTTTCTTGTATGCTCTTTTGTCATTTTTGTCTTCTGACTTCAAAGATCTGGCTCTAAGAGGAATGAGTCATCTCATCCTATGGTTAAAGTGTTGATTGTGGCGGCTAACACCATTTAAACGTAGAATGAAGGAGTGTAATATTTTACTCCAGACCAGCAGGCACAGTGTTTTTTATTAGCTATTTATAGTCCATGATGTAAATTTTTGTCATCTCTTCATTAATGTGTTTTTCTAATACTCTACATATACGTTAAAGATATAGTACATTGTGCTAAAAGTGCATTTAATTTATATATAACTTATATAAATACATATATGCAGGGACTGTCTAGATTTTATTTAACCATTTTTTTCTCTAGGCTAACTCATGATATTTACTTCTGGGACCTTTTGGTAGAAGTCACTGTAAACAGTTTTTTTAGGGAAAAGGGTGTATAAGGTGTTATACCCAACTACAGTAAGAAAATGCTGCAAGTGTAGTAGAGAAAGCCCAGTAACTTAGAAGCTGTTTGCTAAAGTTTCCTAACAGGCAAGTAAATATGGGACTAGGTATTTGTGAGTTTCAAGTCTTACCATTGTCGCAGTAACTTGGTGATGAAGGTATAAAATCCCACAGGACTCTTGAGGCCCTCTTGTTTTCCATGTTCTTTTGTTTCTCTGGAATCGCTCCTCTCTCAGTGTTGAGGTCTGGGCTCAAGTGGAGTTACTTAAAAAAAAAAAAACAAACAGGGTTGACTTTATTTAGAAGATGCAGTATATAATACTCATGGGACCTATATGCTGATAATGAGATGGCTTGGTGATGTGTGCCACATTGCATTTTCTAAAAGCCTGAAAGAAGGGGGAGAGGCCTGCCAAAGTATGCTGGCCAAAAATGAGGTGAGACTTCCTGGTTCAGGTGCACAGGTACGGCTCCTCTTCCTCTTGCTGTGTTTATAAGGGCCGAGTGCTTTCTGAGCCTGCTTCTTGTGAGCCTGGTGTGTCCATATCCCCAGGGTCAGCTACAGGACTAACAGCTTTATAATGGAGACAGTTAGTTCCAGATTTCACATGGACAGCTTTTTTTTTTTTTTGGTAAAGGTTTTATAGTAAAATGCTGGGGTAAGTCTGGTACCTTGTCTTTGGCCACTCCCCAAGGAATTCTGATTGCATAAGATTCTGTTGTTGTTTTCAGAGAAGTGACAATGATTTATTTTAAAAAGCACTGAGTGACAATTGAAATGCCATCTGGCTAATCTAAAGATCTAAGGAGCATATTTGAAACGTACCAAAAGCTTCATAGGTGTAATAGAGCACAGAATAGGATTATTTAAAACTAGTCATTGTTTAATAGAACATTTTCTGCTCCTCTCAGTAATATGAACCATTTTTCTTGGCTCTCTGGGGAGCCCCCAAAGCCAACAGGACTAGGATGCCCTGTCCTGAGACATAGATGTAGTAGGTGCTCAGTAAACTCTGGGGTTTGGACTTGCCATACATAGAGGAGGTGCTTGCCTTTCTTATGTTTTGGATACAAGACAATTTTCTCTACCTCTTGTATACTTCTACTTCTTCCTACCCACACTAATTTATTTTCTTTAGTGCCTGAAATTCCACCTAGACATGATTTTTTTTTTGGATTAAAGCCTTTGGTGATGACTCTTATTAAAAATAGAAATTAAAAAGTCTGTGCCCCTGGGAGGTGGATTCAAGTTGTCATTATTCCTTTAATATAAATTATGTCATCAGATAGTCTTTCTAATCTAATAGGGTTCCACTTGGCCAGTTGGGGGTCTTATAAGGCTCAAATGGAAGGGGAATGAGGAGGGACTCAAGGACAGATTTTATTCTCTCCCCAGTTTTTCCCGAGCCTGGCACTGCCTGTACAGCTGTGGACCAATTCAATGCCTTTTTCTACCCAATTTTCCAAGATCAGAATGGCCTTGGCCTTTCCCTTCTGCATCTGCAGTGCTCTTTCATCTGTCATTTTTCCATGGTCATTTCCTATGTTGTCCTGGTAAACCTGCTATTTGATTTTTAAAAATTTATTTATTTGTTTTAGAGAGAAGGGAGGGGAGGGAGAAAGAGGAGGAGAGAAACATCAACCTGTGAAAGCTTGATGGGTTGCCTCTTGCACGCCCCCCACTGGGGATGGGTCCACAACCCAGGCATGTGCCCTGAGTGGGAATCAGTTCACTGAGCCACAGCAGCCAAGGCAGTCCTGTCGTTTGAAATGAAGTCTGGCCAACAATGACTTCTCATTTAGTTATCAATGAATTAGTTATCGGCTGAAACAATGCTTTTCAAAACCAACTAATCGTCAGTATCAACTGGGAAAGGGGGTTGGGGCTGGCAAAGAATCCAACTTCTGAGGCTTTATCCCCAAGCGGAAACCTAGAAGGGACAATTATTTTGGAGCCAGCCCAGTGCTGGTCTGAGTATTGTAAATCTTTAGGTCAGTGTTAAACTTTTAAGGAGCACAAATGAAGGGAAGGCGAACTGCTTTTAAAATTCACATTCCTGGGCCCTACCCTCAGAGAGTTGCTCTGGCCTGGGTGGAGTGGGGGTGAGGCCAGAGCTGCTGTCTCGGTCAACACTCCAGGTAGCACTAATGCATGTGCTTCTGGGGACACACTGTGAGACGTCCTGCAGAGTTTCAGGCTGCACCTCTGCCACTTTGCCCTTGGGGAAACACAGTGCTCCAGAGTGAATGGCAGTCCGCTTCCTGGCACAAGGGCATTTTATCTGATAACCAACCCGAGGCCTTTTCGTATTTACTGCAAGACAAACAAGAGAACCTTTCACGGGCACTTCTGTCACCACCATCATTCTAAGTAACAAGTTTTGTGAAACAAGAAGATAATGTGAAAGAGAAGATGAGCTTTGAAGTACCACGTATTTCCTCTTGTTTGTGATTGATAGAGGGAGCAAAAGTCTGAGCAGAGAAAAAGCCAACAACCCTGAGCATTTCACAAAGATGTAATTGAAAGGACAAATTATCCACATATTGTCTAGGCAACCACAAATTAAAAACTCTGGGACTTACAGTCTAGTTGATGAGGACTTCAAAGGAAGTCATTTAATAGAGGTGCTGCTTGCATTTTTCTTTTTACTACAAACAACAGTAAGAAAAACATTTTATAAATGTAATCAAGCACCCACATATTGACATGATTTATTTAAACAAGTTTTGTGTGAAAACACTGAACTCTTACTATATTGACATTTTCGATTCTTTTTATCTAACAACAATAACAGCAGAATGCTGGTAGCTGCCATATAATTTTAAGACCCAGTATTAGGTCACAACTTTCAGTTTGAAAAACATTGTGCTAGACGATACCCAGTTTTGGAAGAAGACTATTAAAGAGATTCATCTTTAAACTTCTGTGTTGGGCTGTAATCTAGAAGAGAATGCCATGCCCAAGACCAGCTAGGCACTTGATCAGAACTGACTTTCTTCCAGGAGTGGGGATATCTAAATATGGGTTCCCACTGTGGAATCCAGTTTTATGATTGGGCCAGTATACCCAGGAGCTGCTGGGCAAGGAATCAATAGAACAACCAGAAAAAGAGATGTTAATTGAGTAGAACTTCACAGTCTTCATCAAAAAAGGAACACCCAGCTGAACTGAAGGAGCTTGTGCATGTGTGCCAGCTAAGCAGCGGGGAGGTCTGTTTCATTGCTGTATCTGTGAGTGAGAAATTGTGTTTCTTTGTGTGGCAACTGCAATTATTTGGTAGGCCTTAAAATTGGATCAGCTAATTAGGGCTGGCCTCATACTTCAGAAAGCATCTGCAACTTTCTAAGTTCTGGTGCTGAGTTTCCATTTTCAAGTAGTTGCACTTTGAGAAGAAAGGTTAACACATGTAGCGAGGGAGAGAAAAATAAGTCCTTGCCAAATTCTCAAACAGTAGGTATTGTTAGGCTCTAGGGTTGAACCTCTGGTTGAACCCTAATTCTTTGGAAGCAACAATTCTGGATTTCTGTTCTTCACTGATTTTTCTGCTTAGCTAGGTAACTTTTATTGGGAAATGTTTTTGTTTAGATTACAAAGCTCAGATGATCTAAGTGAATGCCTCAAATGGAAGAGAACAAGGCAATACTGATGAATTGAACTGTTGTTTTCCATGAGATGGACAGAGTGGGTTACCCATGGTCCAAAGACAAGAAAGCAAGGACATTTAGTTCATTTCATTAAGAAGAGCATTTGTTAAGTCACTCGATTTTGTTCAACAGCCAGTACAAGCAAGTATTTCATCAGGTAGAGGGGGTAGAGTCAGTAGGTGGTCTTTGTTTTATTCTGTACAAAACTGTAATTTAAAAGAGATAGTAAGGGAGGAGGATGGATCTTTCATCAGTTTGTTTTATGGGCAAATTATACACCATTGCTGGTGAGTAATATTTACAAATTTTAAATGATTTCACATAATATAAACACTATGTTACAGTTATATTTATAGACATAGGTATTTATTTATTTTTGCTTACTCATGACATTGTGAATCTCTCAAGCAGGGCCCAGGTCTTTTTCAACTTTGTGTCCTCTGAAAGTAGTGCTACTCAAAGTGTGGGTCCCCAAATTGTTTGTGGCTTGTCTGAGACAAGAATAGTATAGAGATAGGGAGTAAGCGTTTAATAACATTTGTAGGAACTTGACACTCCTGTGACCGTTTTACAAAAGTATCTATCCGTAGTGAGTTGGAAATAGAAAACAGCCTGGTCAGTCCTAAATTCTATGGAGTTTGAAAGGCACAGCTCCCATACTTGATGCAGTACCTGCAAGCCAATACATGCTCAATAAATGCTTGCTAAGTTATTTCAGGGACCAGACTAGCTAATGTGCCAGAGTCAATGCCTTGATCCAAGCACTCATCGAGCATCTATTCTGGGGCAGCACTGTCAGCACTGCGGCAGCGTATCTGGAAAAAGAAACTATGCTTATTTCTTCTCATGGAATTAACTAATTCAAAAGATCTCAGAGATGCAAAATAATTACACAGCAGTATGAGGCAAGACAGAGTTGGTTACCAAAGCCTCTTAGTGAAGAGTAGACACTTAAAGTAGGAATGCGGCATGTGGATGAACTTGGCTAGGAAGGTTCCAGAGCTTGTGACACCTGACTTGGGCAGTGAAGGATAAAAGTAAGAGTTGAAGGTGAAAAGGCATTTTGGGGCAGGATGGAGGTAAACACAGCTCACCTCCTCACACAACCACAGCAAAAGTTACAACTGAACTACAAAACAACTGTCACCCAGCGTTGTCAAAAAATTGAGCTGTATGGAAGTTCAACAACCAAGGAATTAAAGAAGTCACATTCATCCAGACAGGTCAGAGGGGCAGAGACATAGAGATGTGGAATGGGCAGTCCTACACCAACCTGTGGCAAATAAAAATTGGGAGGGATACCTTTGGAGCAAGGGATCCCAACCGCAGACCAGACCATGCAGCCAGAAGGGCACTAGTAGCACCTGGGCAGAAACTGAAGTGTCTGGCATCAGGACAAGTGCTGGGGGACAGCTTCCTCTTGGATAAAACTTCAGAGGCCAGGCAGCTGCATTGTCCCCTTTCTGAGCCCTCCCTGATGCAGAGCCACAGAATGGAAACACCACATCGGAGACTCCATCAACCTGGTTCACACAGGTTACCCCACTCTGGTGATTACCTAAGGCTCCACCCCATCCAGCTTACTAGTGCACTTTTCTACAATAGGCCATGCTACTAAGACAGAGTCAAAGTAGCTCTACCCAATACATAGAAACAAACACAGGGAAAGTTTCAAAATGTGGTGACAAAGAGATATGGCCCAATTAAAAAGACAGAACAAACCTCCAGAGAAAGAACTAAACAAAATGAAGATAAGCAATCTATCAGATGCAGAGTTCAAAACAGTGATTATAAGGAACTCATTGGGTACTTCAACAGCATAAAAAGGACGAGGTAGAAATGAAGGTTACACTAAGTGAAATAAAGAAAGATTTACAGGGAACCAACAGTGAAGTGGATGAAGCCAAGAATGAAATCAATGATTCGGAACACAAGGAAGAAAAAAAAAACATTCCTTCAGAATAGCAAGAAGGAAAAAGAACCCCCCAAAACCCAAGAAAGGTTAAGAAGCCTCTGAAACAACCTCAAATGCACCAACATTCAAATTATAGGTGTGCTATAAGGAGAAAAGAAAGAGCAAGAAATTGAAAACTCATTTGATAAAATAATGAGAGAAAAATTCCCTGATTTGGTGAAGGAAATAGACATGTAAGTCCAGGAAGGACAGAGAATCTCAAACAAGGTGAACACAAATGGGTCCACACCAAGACACATCATAGTTAAGATGCCAAAGGTTAAAGATAAAGAGAGAATCTTAAAAGCAGCAAAGAAGAAAAGAAGAAAGTTACCTACAAAGGAGTTTCCATAAGTCTGTCACCTGATTTCTCAAAAGAAACTTTACAGGCTAGAAGGGAATGATGTGAAGTATTCAAAGTGATGAAAAGCAAGGACCTACAACCTGAATTACTCTATCCAGCAAAGCTATCATTTAGACTTGAAGGGCAGGTAAAGTGTTTATCAGGCAAGGTAAAGCTAAAGAAGATAATCACCAAGCCATTATTATATGAAATGTTAAAGGGACTTATTTAACAAAAAGAAGATCAAAACTATGAACATTAAAGTGGCAATAAATTCACAACTATCAACAACTGAATAAGAAAAAGAAGATAAAAAAATATGAACAGTGAAAGGACAGCAAACTCACAGTTATTAAGAACCACACCTAAAACAAAAGCAAACTAAGAGGACAGCTAGATCAGGAGTGGAACCATAGAAATGAAGATCACGTGGAGGGTTAGCAACAGGAGAGTGGGAGGAGGAGAAGGGGGAGAAGATATAGAGAGTAAGTAGCATAGACAGTAGGTAGAAAATAGATGGGGGGAGGGCAAGAATAGTATGGGAAATACAGAATCTAAAGAACTTGAGACAAGTGTTCATGAACTAAAGGGGGGAATAGTGGGGGAGGGGTGTGCAGGGTGGAGGGGAATGAAGGGGGGAAATAGGACAACTGTAATGGCATAATCAATAAAATATATTTTAAAAAATAAAAAAAAGAAAAAGAAAAACAAATTAAGCAAACAAGTAGAACACAAACAGAGTCATAGATATGGAGATCATTTGGAGGGTTATCAGTTGGGAGGGGGAAGGGAGAAAATGGGGGAAAAGGTGTAGGGATTAAGAAGTAGAAATTGGTAGGTACAGAATAGAACAAACAGTACAGGAAATGAAGAAGCCAAAGAACTTACATGCATGACCATGGACATGAACTAACAGGAGGATTGATGGAAGGAATGGGGGGTACTGGGTGGAGGGGGGCAAAGGAAAAAATTGGAACAACTGTAATAGCCTAATCAATAAAACATATTTAGAAAAAGAAAAGAAAAAAGCATTTTTTGTCTGGAGAGTGATGGCGTGAGGTGGGGGTGGCTGAGAACAGGCACACAGTGACTCTGTCCTACACTAGAGTGACAGAATGTTTCTACTCCTGGTTCCCTTGGACTGTGTGGAGCACTATAGATTGTTCAGTATTTTCATGAGATTATTACAGAAGTTTTGTAAAAAAGAAAGGGGATCAAAAAAGTCCAGGGGATAATGGAGTAAGCCTAATAAGAGCTGGCATGTTTTGGGACTGCCTGAACAGAGGAAATGCCAAGAGATGTGTAGTGGAGTCTCTTTTGAGCCACAAATCTTGGTCTCAGGTGTCCCCTCAAGTGCTATGAACACTTAAGTCCTTGCTAAGATCTTGTTGGCTTAGGTGAAATGCAGAGGTCAAGGGAAAGAGAGCTTGCCTCTGGTTCTGAGCTTTTAAACTCACATGAAATGACATCATTAATATCATCACCTGGTAGACATGTTGGGCAAGTTGGTAGATTTGGGAGAGAGCTGTGAGTATTATTCTGTTCTTTAGTACACTGTGCTAATTTATGGTTCTGGACTAGAGCTGCTTCTGCCGCAGTGTGAAGTTGTTTCTGATGTGGTTTTGCTTCTTCTTGCAGGAGTGAGGAAGACATCGTCATCTCAGTGCATGACGACCAGGCTGATTGCTCCAGTCTCAGGTATGACCCACCATCGCTTCGTGCTTAATTACGAAGGACAGAAACCATCTGGGTCGGGGGCCTATAGTGTCTTTTCAAATTATAATCATTTGTTTTTGTGTATCACTTTTTCTAATAGAGTATCAGCTCCTAAAGGAAGTGTTATCTTGTCCACTTTTGAATATCCCATCCCCACCTCCCTGCCATCCAACCCTAGCATTCAGGACAGCGCCTTTTATATGGGGAATGCTCGATAAGTGACTATTGGATTAAACATTGATTTGCCCATCTCAGTATTCCCATTATAAACCTTCAGGAAGAGGTTCTAGATTTAGTCACCAAGGAAGTCATTGAGTGTCAGGGACACAGTCTTGGTCGTCAAGGTGGTTCTTGGTGTGATAGCAAAACCTTCATGCACAACCATTTCTTCACATTGACTTTGTTTCCAGCACTTTCTCATACATTTTATTATGTAATCTAAACAAGTGAAAGGAGGCTGATATTTCCCTCCTCATACTGTGGATGGAGAAACTGAGGCTCAGAAGGATTATGGCACCTCCGAGATAATAGAGCCACTGTGAGGCAGAATTGGGAATTTGTTTGACTGTGAAGTGCACTTGTTGGATAACATGCATCGTCAGGCTTTGGGGTAGGGAAAGACAAATCAGTCCCTGCCCCCATAATTTAGTCCACTGGAGGAGGTGGGCAAAAATAATAGATGACTATGCTCCAGTGCATTAAGTATCCTTTTACTAGAAGTAAACAGAGGATTCACTTTAAAAAATTGAGTAGCCCAGAGATGTTTCTGGGATGGATTCCTGAAGAAAATCACACATGGCACATGACTTGTTTTTTTGTGGGACTTAAGGCCAAGAAAAAGATGATGCTATCAAGCAGAGGGAACAACTTACTAGAAAACCAACAGAAGGTAGAAAAATTGTTCAAGTCAAAGGACCAGCAAGCCGTTTAGGATGTCCGGAATCCATAGAGGTGGGTGGGGGTGAAGAGGCCAGGAGTGGTAGGAAATGAAGCTCCAGAGATAAACAAAGACCCATTTAAGAGGGTTTGTATACCTTGCTAAGGAGTTTGGAATTTATCCTGGAGGTATGGGAAGACTAAAAGGAGGCCTTACCTTTTTCTCTGCAAATAATTACTTGTGTAAGTCCTCCTGAGGGTAACAATAGCTCCCATTTATTGGATTGTGGCCTTGAGTCAACTTTCTATGGTAGGCATTTCACGGAGACTGTTATCTCTGCAGGGTGGTCCTTCTCATGCACAGGGGTCAAGAAGGGGTGTGGCCCAGGCTCCATAACTGATGAAGGCAGGGGAGGATCCTTTGGGCTCTCTGCTTTTCGGAACATCATGATTATTCTCAGTGATGAGTGATCCCATTAAGTAGAGGCATAAGTTACATAACCTGTAGTTTTCTGTTTATGGATTCTGAGAAACCATTAATAGGTTGGAAATATATACACCTAAAGATGACTTTTGTATTCAGGTTTTATATTTATGTAATGAGGGAAAGATGCTGTTTGCTCCCTTCACCCACCTTTTATGCTTTTCAAATCAAGGAGGCAGCTGAGATGAATAAACTTTGGGCACCTTGAAAATATAATACGAAAACAAAGTTTCAGGTATTATTTTAGGAATGAATCTATCAAAAGTCATTTTAGATTTGAAAAGTCACTTTTTTTCTTATTTGTAAGAAAGACAAATACGGTGTCGTAGAATCCTCCTTGAATGAGGAACATTCAGGTTACTGTAAAGGCAGCTGTCCTTCCTCCATCTCTCACTCGGGAACCTACAGTGCGAGGATGAATAGTGCTTGTTTTTAGCAAGATGTCGGGGAGAAACATTTTCCCTTCTTTTCTTCTACGGTTTTGGCTGGTCTAATAGTTGGATTGACATATGGCAGATTAAAAGGAGAAAAACAAATTTAATTCGTACATATGGGAACCTCAAAGATATGAGACTCTTAGGCAGTCAGGTAATGGAGGCTTATATTCTCTTCTGACCTAAGGAGGAGGGCAGGGTTTTGGGGGTCTCAAAGGGGAGGAAGACAGTCCCCAGGAAGGTGAGAAGAGCAGTTCTGTAGTGAACAGATATTTGCCAGGCCGTGCAGATCCGTCTCTGATATAACAAGTTATCTTTGGGATTAGCTCTCTCCTGCTACAGACATTCAGTGTAAGTTCTTTTAGACAGTTAAGGGGAAGGTCGAAAGCCCTTCTTGAGTCTCTTGTCGGGCCTTGATTGTCTGCAGTTCGAAATGATCAGCATGCCAACGTGGCACATGGTAGGGTCATGCAGTCTGCTGTCCCTCAGAGAAAAATGCCGTTCGAATAACTAGCGTAGTCTCAACTCATGGTTTAGTTGTAAACGAACGTAAGAGAAAATATTAGCCAGTGTCACTGGCACTGGTTTTTTTCAGTTACTAATATTGAAAAATTGTTTCATTTGTTTGGTTCTCCTTTGCCAGATAACACTAAGTTTGACCTTTTTGCTGGACAGGGGCCTGTCCCTGAGTGGGTCTGCCTAGAGCCAGCTGTAGCGAGTGGGTTCTTGACGTCATGTAGGAAAGATTTCACAACATGAGTCCAGGTGACTATGAGGGTATGTTTGTTTAAGCTGGGGACAGTGAAACAAGGAAGGGCTTAGTGTAGAAGAGGCAACAGGAGAGCCTTGGCTGAGCTGTCTTAGGTCACTGGGAAGTCAGAGAAAACAGGCTTTGGGGACAGGTTCAGAGGATTAGCCTGGCACAAGATGCCAGCCCATTGCCTTAGGGTTTCAGAGATAAGTGCCTGTGAAGAAGGAAGTGGGGGAAGGGAGATGAAGGGAAGGGAACATATGGGCTGCTCCCAGAGAGAGAGCCAGAGCTAGCAAGCTGGTTCCTTTGTCTTGAGGTTTCTACCGCTCTCTTGCAGGTGGAAATCTTAGAGGGGCGTTTCAGTAGAATATTCATTAGGTCTCCCAGTGTGCCCTTTCCGGGGTCATGGTCTCCTCTGATTGGTCAGTGACAGGGCAGGGGTCTTTATTCATTGCAGTTGGTTCTGGGCAACTCCTACCTGGTTTTGCTGCTTTCTGGGCCTGGAGCTGAAACACTACTGAGGCCTAGATGTTATCTTTAGAGGGGGTGATCTTTTTTTGTATCTGGCTGTAAATTGCCCGGCCATTATGTTCAACTCTCTGTCTCAGTTTCCCTGTTCCACTTGCCAAGAAATTTTCCTAGCTTCTCACTATCCTGTCTCAACCTGAGGCTTAAGTGTAACTCTTATCATAATTTTATTTCCACACTTGCCACCTGCATCCTGGTCGTGCTCCAGACTTCCTATACCGATGTTTGCTTTGATCTTTTCCCAGAAACCAACTGGAGCACATCCTCCCAATATCAGTTCAGTGAATTGAATGCCTCTTATTTGCAAAAAGATATTTTGAACAGTGTACGTAGAAATCCTTTCTTTGTTGGTCTTGTCTCTCGGCTTTATGTGTCCTTGAGTCATGAGGAATTCTGGTGAGGAAGCAGGAGAGTAAAACACCAGCTGGGGCAAGTGGCTACTCCTAATCTAGTGCCCGGTGATTGCCAGTGGGTGAAGGATGATGACATTGATCGTATGAAGAAATGCCCCATTTGGTTTTGTCTGTGGTATTTGCTGGAGTCTTAGCAAAAGAAGAAAACAAAATGCATCCAGATCTAAGACCGCTAAGTAACTTTGTTATTTTGTCACTGTTTTTGAGGAAATAAAAATGGCAGGGTGATGTTCTATTGAATTTGATTGGTGAGTGAAAATTAAAAGTGTCATCCCAGCTCTGAATGGACGCGTGCAGTGCTAGCCCATCCCCTCTTCTCCACAAGTCCACACCGACAGAACCCAGAGAGTGGGATCGTTGACTTTGCACTGAGGACGCTGGGCAGATGGCTTGGCTGGGAAAAATTTGACCCTTGTCTTAGATTTAATTGGGGTAGTATATATCCTATTAAAATAGGCCCCATTTAACTTTGGAATGTGTCTGAAAGTTGTAGAGAGGTGATCGTAGACTTGTCAGTGAGGAGAAAGCACCATACCTGAACCAAGGACACATGCGTGAGAGACTGGAGACCTCCCTGACCACTCAGGTCTGGGCGAATCAGCCCTTTATTTAATCTCTGTGTTTTAGAGTCTTAATCTATGAAGGTGAGATGACATTATCTAACCTGAATACATTATTATTAAAATATGATTAAAAACATGCTATACATGAAAGCTTCTTAAAGTAGAAAATTAAAAACTATGATTGTATGTGCAACCTTACTACTACAAAAAGTATGTATTCATTAGCAAGGATTGGCAGGGACTGTAGAGTAATCTAAGAAGTGAAATCCACATTTTTCAAATCCTGGTTCCTGCGAAACTGGCTCGGTAGACACTGAAAATGTTGTTGCTAGGTCCGTATAAGTAGAGCAGCAATGAGGATGGCCAGTTCCTCTTTGCCACAGCAATTCGTTACTGTTTGTGGTGCTGTCTAAATTGGGTCTTTCTCGTTTTAGAGATGAAGACAACAAAGAAAATTACCCTGACACTGAGGCTCTTCTAGAGGAGCCCGAGCCGTCCCGGGAGCCCCAGCATGTAGAGCAGACCGTGCTGGTGGACGGCGTGCTGCGACCCAGCATGGGCAACTTCAAGTCCAGGAAACCCAAGTCCATCTTCAAAGCAGAGAATGGGAAGAGCCACGGAGAAAGTCAGGTAATGGGTCCACGCCTCCGGCCTTTTACAAGATAGGTGCTTCTCAGGCAAGTGCACTGTTCTAGCAAATGTTTTGAGTGTGTTATTTTGCAGGAGGTGATGAACGTGACTTGTCATCGCACGTACTTGCCATCCTGAAATAGAGGGGCGTTCTCACTGGGGAGTAGTGGAGTGCTCTGGATGGCCTAATACAGTGCCCATTCAAATTTATAGTCCTAAATACTGGACTTCGGCACCGATTTAGAAAAGCTCTTTATGGGGGAAAATAGAGGGGGAAGATCTTACTGTATTTTTCCCTAGCGCATGGATTTCCTGTACCAAACTCAGAGATTCTTCTTGACAAATGGACACGCTCGGGTTTACCTGGAACCGTTCGTTCTCCTTAGGTTGCAGTTTCCCAGCCCTGACTAAAAACACTCAAGTGTGTACAAGCCCCTTTGTTGTTTATATGTGGTGTCTGCTTCTTCAAGGCCAATACCCATTTAAATGAATGAGTGAGCACCTTTCCAGCTTGACTTAGGTAATAAATTTACATTGTATATATTCTAATTTTTTCTAGTTGGAAAGAGATATAGCAAAAAAAAAATGTGATTTTTTTAATCTTAAAAACTCCCCAAATAATTTATGATGCTTTTAAAAGAGATTACACAAATTAATCCACTTTAATCTTACTGGGAGGTTAATAATTCCAACACTGAGGTTATACCTGTAATGCACCTAACATAGTCTTTGGGACATAGATGCTTGATTAAGGTTAACTTTACTTTTTTGTTAACACTTAGCTGTTAACATTCAAAACAGTGTGGGAGCCTCTAAGTGTAATAAGTTAATTATGACTTTAAGTCCAGTCCTGTTAGCAAATGGGCACCAGGTGCTCTTCCTATTAGAATAACTTTGGCTTGGCAGTTTATTTAGCCTTGTAGTTTTCTTATTTAACCCCGTGATTTTTAAAATCTTATTTCTTTCTTGGTATTATGATCTCTTATTTTGTCCGTTAATTTTGCAATGAGATAAAATGCCTTCTGCATTCATGAAGTTGTGTTATGATGATCTTAAACTAAGTTGAATGGCAGAAAGAGATGAGTGTGAAATACCATTTAAGTTATGCTGATCTTGATACCTTGTCTAGTACTGAATATACCCAGCACTTGTTTGATTAGGAGCATGGTGTTAGGGAGCATAGGGGTACCCCAAGGGCTGTCTGCAGAGTCTGACTAACTTCAGAAAAGCTTCGGCCTTGAATCCCCTACTAAGAGTCACCTGTGACATTGTGGGCTTTTGAAGACCAGCTGTCTCTGTTCAAAGTGTCCTATTTTTTGTCATCCTTGTAGTCTGGCCTCACAGAAATTACACAGTCATCATTTGTAATAAGGTCCTAATGGCATGTGTAATTCAGGACCTGATGCCCATACACGGAAGATTTCCGGAGAGCCACGTGCTCGTTTGGTCCTCACTCAATCCAGCATTGGAACCCTACTCTGCAGGGGCAGTTTCTGGTGCGGTCCTGACAGCTCTGTCTACACACTGAGATGTTTCCCCTAATGAGGAAGAGAGCTTTATTAATATTATTTTAGGTTTTCTGTATTTAGGAAAAAAATTGAAACATGTTTCATACTTTTGGTTTTCTTGGGGGAAAGAAAATTAACATTGGTTGAGTACTGACCAAGAACTGAGCATCTAGAAATAATATTATTCGTAAATCAGCAAACACTTATTTGAGCACTTACTGTGTTCTGGGCATGTGCCATGTTTTACTACAATCCCATGGAATTAGTAGTATTATTTTGTACCAATGAAAAAACTAAGGGTCAGAGGAATTACATGTGTTTGATCAGATTTGGAATAACTTGAGCAGAATGTCCTTTCCATAAAAGGACAGCGTTTCTAACAAGAGGTACGCAGATCTTCCAACTGTGAGTGATTTACCGATCTCCTGATGCTCACACCTTAATTTATATATAAAACCTGTGATTTCACTCTGAAATTTTTTTCATTTGGTGATATATTAGGTTGATAAGCAGTAATTACTTATTTGGAAAATATTACTTTGAGAAAAAAAAGAAAAAACTCACAGACTCGGACAACAGTGTGAAGATTGCTGTGGGGAGGGGAGTGGGGGAAGTGGAGGAGGGTAAGGGGGGGTAAATGGTGATGAAAGAGACTTGACTTGGGTTGGTGAACCCACAATACAGTGTACAGATAGTGTGGTATGGAACTGTGCCCCTGAACCTGTATAATTTTGTTAACCAGTGTCACCCCCAAGAAATTGGAAAAAAAGAAGGATTACTTTGAGAGAATTTTCTAAGTATATTTTTCTTTTCTGCCTTAAAGCTTTGTGATGTGGGTCACCGATGCTAGATAAATGTTGTCTGAGTGCATGTGACCTCCACTTGGGATGTAAGTTCCGTGAGGTCAGTGATTCACTCCTTGTCTATCTTTGGATCTCCAGCCCTCAGTAAGCATTCAGCGTTATGTGATGAATGACTCAAAACTGCTAAGAGGGGTATATAGATGATTGGTATCGTTTTTTAAAATAAAATGTTAGCATATCTTTATTCAGTGGTGAACATTTACATTTTAAGAGAGGATATAATCAAGACTCACGTAGATAATGAAATAAACACATGTCATAGATTTTATTTTCAGCATTAATTGGAGAAGGAGTCAATAAGATATTACAACCAGTACAAAAGAGATGCAAAGTATCACATACTTGTAGTGTGACAAGGAATGCTAAAATAAATTTTAAAATGAACACAAAATTGGGCAAAACTTGCAATACCCATAGGGTGACAATCAGTTACCTTCCCTTGGACACAATTTGCATTTCCGTGGAGAGGCATTATCTGCATTGTCATCTGTTTCTACAGGTTTACTTCTATCTCTATAACCTTGCAAAATCGCCTAGTTACAGACAAAAGCAGAGGTTATTCTGATGGATGAGCTAGTCGGGACATCCACTAAATTTTAAAGTCTGTTACAATTTTTCCTTGCATTCTCCTCCTGCCCCCTACCTTCTTCCTTGTGATAGTGAGATATTCTTGATCACAAAATAAGGCAAGTCTCACTAGGTTTGGTATGGTTATTTACGTAGGTGTAGCAAGAGTGTTAATGTACCATATGCATTCTTAAGTATGCTTTGCAAAATCTACAGCCATATTCTATTGGATAATCGCAAAATTAACTTCTCTCTCTGGAAGTTTTCGTAAGAAATCTCAGATTGCACATTTACTGTCTCTATTATTTGCTATCCAAGGAGAAAGGAAACCAAGTTCAAGTAACTCCACCATATTTTACCTGCAGTATCTATACATCTGCATGACTTCTCCTCTTGGGGTCCCCAAAATAACCTTTGGTTCCTGGCCTGCCAGGGAGTGATGGTCATTACCACCTGTAAGGGTTGGGTACTGTAAGCTAGATGCCAGGCCAGTTACGCTAGAGGACTGTGTAGGCATTGGCTCATAAGTAAAGCCACATTAGTTCCTTAAAAATGGCTTACTCTACCTGATTCAATAAGCATCCTTCTTAATGTGACATTCAGGTTGCGTATCAGATTTTTTCCAGTTCCGCTCTGGTAAAAAGGAAAACAGATTATTGTTGAATATATGCAAATAACTCTATTCCATGAAAAGGAAGTTCACTCCATACGAATTTCTGAACTCAGTGAGATTCAGATGCCATTTTTAAAATATTCATTTTAGTTTGCATAAACAGAACGGTTTTCAAATGTAGGTTTTATTGTAATTCAGTGTGCTGAGGCTGGCAGATCAGAAGATGACTGCCATCTGGAAAGATCTCTGCACCCAGTTCTCAGGAGGAGTGGGGGCAGGCCATGCTGGCAGGGGCAACACCAGGAAGCACCAGGGTGGCCTGGAGACAGAGAGGGGCGAGGGGAACAGGAACAGGAGCCTTTCTTGTGGCTTCCACAGGGAAGGCAAGCAGGGTAAACTGGCTTAGGATTGGCTAGTTGGAAGAATTTCAGTGGACTCCGAGGTATAGGGCTATCTCTAGTTGTCGGGGGCCTGGCTCTGGGATGACTAGAGCAGAGGAATATTGCCTCCTGCAGTGTGTGAGCCAGATAAAGAAGGTGGTTCTGAGTGCAGGCTCTGGGCTGGTTAGTCTGTACATGAAATGCTAGCTCCTGGGCAAGTCATTTACTGTGTTTTCTAGCATTAAGAATCAGCCCGTCTCTTTCCAGTCAGCAAGTCAGCAAGGTTCTGGATACCAGAGAATCAAGAATACAGAAAATAATAAAATTAGTCAACATAAGAATCTATTAAGTTGTATGGCTTACAGATGGTTGAAATACAAAGAGAAAGGACTTGCCTATAAATCCAGTAAATAGAGCATTAAGACAATATTCACAAGAAATAATAACCACAGTAAAATTTCCCTTATCAGTCCACTCAGTCAGTCATATGTAGTTAAATCTTGTTCAGCTTGATCCTGCGTCAGCAGCACCATGAAGCCGTCTGCTTCTTCACTACTTTCCTGTAAGTCCTGACTCAACCCTTTGGTGTCATCAGATGCCTGGCCCCAGAGTCTGCCCTTTGCAGCCACAGTTGTTTCAAGTATCTGGGCCTTTACTGTGAGACTCTTGGGACCATTCTTCTTAGCTGATGTCACAGAATCTGACCTGAAACTGACAGTAGAAACTTCAGGCAGGCATCTGCGGGAAACAGATGTATGGATGACAGAAACTGGAAGTAGTTGTGGTTAATTTACCGCTAATAATTTTCAAATGTGAAAAGCCTGATGAGACTTCATAATAAGAATAATGTACAACATGACATGCAAAAACAAATAATAAAGTCGTTCTCCTCAAATTAAAAAAGTCTGAAACAGTTATGAATAAGCTTAGTTTAAAAGAAATCAGGGAGTTTATATCTGATTTTATGAAAATGGAGAAAATAATTTTTACGGATGAGAAATCTTGAGCTATAATATAATAATCATAAAAGAATATGCAAAAAGTTAAGTAAAAAAATTCATGAAGTTTG